CTGTGTGTGGGTGTACTTGAGAGAGGGCAGGAGAGTTAGGGTCACTAGGAAAGGCAGGTTACTGGGCTTGTATGTTCCCTCAAAGCAGGACTGCAGTATTTTGTTGGCAAATTGTTTTGTGTTTTGTCCAACCCAAGACTGGAAAGAGAGTTGAGTATATTCAGTCTAATTTCTGGGTTGGCTATGTCATCTGAATCTCTTCATTCAGAATTCTCCACCTTCCCCTAGTTGAAAATGAAATCTTTAAAAGTTTTTTTTTTATTATAGAGTACATGTGCATACATGGGGGCAGGGTACCCTCGGCAGGGTCAAGTCATGCTGTGATCCCTGTCCTCTAGTTTTCCAGCTGGTTAGATCTTGGGCACTTGCACACCTACCTGGTGTGTTTCTGGCTGACTGGGCTGGGGATTCAGCATATGGCTGCCATGTAGGATCCAGTTTCTCTTTTTTTTTTTTTTGAGAGGGCGCGTGCGCTCGCCAGACAGAGAGACAGAAAGCGAGAAATTGCCCCCCAGGGGGTATGGCTATGCCTCAATCCCTTCTCCTCCATTCTTCTCTCAGGATCTTGGGCACGCACGCACACGCGCCTGGCGTGAGTTTTAAGCCACCGGGGACACGAACCGCGGTCAACTATGTGGGAGTTCAGCGACATAGCCATTACGCTAACTGCTGGTCCCAGGATCCAGCTTCTCTTGAATAGCATGTTACTGCTGTGCCATGGAGCTGGCTCCTAAATGAATATTTGAATATGGCCCAGTTTCCTAGAATAGAACATCATCTGTGACTTGCTGGTACCAGAAAGAAGCAGAAACTTGCTGTGGTGAAAAGTCTCTCGAGAAGATTGATAGGCTCTCTCATACCCCTGCCTCAGAATGTGATAACCCTGGGACCAAGGCTTTGTCCTCTTACCCTATTCAAGACTTCAAAATTCTATTTTCTATCCAGCTAAATAAGCCAGCAGAGCTATCAGGGGAATTAGATTTTTCTCATTTTGAAAGATACATGTACATGTTCTTTTAAAAAATTATCTATTTGTACCAGCCTATGGTATAAAGGTTCCATCACTGGACTCCCACATGGCCAACCATGGTTCGATCCTGGATCCGGTGGCTTGAAACTTACACAAGGTGCATATACATGCATGGAGAAGGGATTGTAGTGTGGCCATCTTCTGGGGGGGTTGTTTCTTGCTTTCTGCCTCTCTCTGTCTCTCTGACGAGCACCCGCACCCTTATAGCAAAAATGTCTCTTAAAAATAAGTAAAAATAAATAATTTTTATTTTATTTATTTAATTTATTTTTTAATTTGCTATATGGCACATGCACTCACTAGAGAGAGATAGGGTGAGGAAAATGAAAGTGAGAAAGCAGGCTGCCAGGTCCAGGACTCGAACCGTGGTCAACTATGTGGGAGTCTATCACCTTAGCCACCATGACACCTACTGGCCTCCATGTATGTGTTCTTAATGCTTACTTGTAAATAAATGATTAATGATTGCTCTGAAAAATAAACCTTTGGGGGCCAGCAGGTGGTGTAGTGGTTATGTTGCTGGAATCCCACACAGCCAGCTGCAGTTCAAGTCCCAGTCCCTGTGGCTTGAAATTCACAGTGGGCTCACATGCATGTGTGCAAAAAATCCTGAAATGGGAATGGAGGAGAAAGGATTGTGGTGTGGCCATCCTCCTGGGGGGGGGGGGGGGGTTTTTCGTTTTC